CGGCAGCTTGTCCAGTTCACCTGCGTGCAGAAAGGGGGCACAAAGCTCACCACGAAGCTGTCACCTGGGTGACAAAACCCTGCCCCATGTAGGTTTCTTGGTTGGCATCAGCCAGCACAGGCATCCTCTGGCTGGAATCCACACTGCTGTGCTGAGGTGGGGCTACCCTGTAGACTCCCAGGCAGCTCCTGTAGGCTAGCAGAGTGGAACTGCCCGAGCTGGAGTCAGGCAGGGAGAGGCAATCCCATCTTCTAGAGATGGTGCCTTTCACTTTCCTCCCTAGGTCTCACTCCAGGACACACATCTGCCCATTTCCTTCAGCCACCAAAGGATTTTAGAGCTAGCATCATGTCTTTTGGCTCCCCCCTTCAGCATTCCTGGCTTCTGCCTTTGCACTGACCACCTCAGACTCAGCCTGCCAAGTTTTGTGGATGAAGGCAGATGTTTTCCAACCTGTTCACCTCCAGCCCAGGGCTGGCAGCTCACCTTCTCTGTGTAGAGAGCGTGGCAGAAGCCTCGCCACGAGCCCCAGCCTGACAGAAGCTCCTTACCCTGAGCCTCAGACAGGAGGAAGATGCTGCAGCTGCAGACTGCAGCTCTGCCTCCCACCCTGCCCAAGAGCTGCTCCCTCCCAGTCCCCCAGGCAGCGGGTGGGTGCCCGGGCCCTGGGGCTCACCTTGCTTGCTGCTCTGGGGCGTGCGCCGCCTCAGGCTGTGCTCCAGCAGCTGGTGGGTGCGGGTGGGGCTGGCACCCGCCATCAGGCGCACGGTGGCCTCGTGGAGGAAAACCTGGGAGGGAAGGCAGGCTGGGGGTGAGGGGAGGGCTGGCACAGAGGTGATGGTGTGACAGAACTCGTGTCATTCCTTAGCCACTGTGTTTTGAGGGCGCAGCACTGACACCTCGACGACACAGACCCGCTTCACCGCCCCCCCGTGATCCTCCCACCTGTCTCTGGGGGGTTTGCAGGTCAGTGGAAGTGTGAAGAAGGGAAAAATAAAGCTTTTGACACACAACTGTGGGTGGCCTGGAAAGGGGGAGGAATGAGAGAGGGAATAAGGCAGGAAATGGGAGAGCAAACCCTGGCGCAGTGCCCTTACGCAGGTGTCTCACCCCAGGCTGCTGCTGCAGTGCTCCAACACCAGCATCATACTTTGGAATCCAAGAGTCTGGACAATACCAGGACAGCTCTCTTGTCCAAGTATTAGACTACATTTCCTCTATGAAAGCTTAAAACCAGACAGACTAAACAGAAGAGGGGAAAAGTCCCCAGAGAAGTATATGGTGCTCTACAGGTGAAGAAGGCATCTGACTCCCCGCTACCCACGGAGGTTTCTATGGCTTTGGAAACCTCCTTCCACAATCCCTGGAGGGACTGGCCCAGTCTGAAGCTACACTAATGCCCAGGATGCCATGGTATTTGCTTGGCAATGCAGCCATGCTGATGGTTTTTTAGGCAGAAACCAAGGCACTACACTGCCCTTACCAAGAGACAGCGAGGAAGCTGCTGCTGGCAGAGCATGGCACCCCAGCTTGTCCAAACTGCTCGAGCCCACCCTCCCCTACGTGTCCATGGGCTGCAGCCCCCCCAGGAACCCACAGGAAGGGCTGGAGGGGAACTGGAGGGGAGGCAGGGGGGGAGGCAAGCCCTCACCTTGCGGTAGGCGGGCCTGAAGCCGTGGGCCAGCTTGCGCAGGCTGCCCAGGTCCCGCTGGAAGCCCGTCAGCTCGGGGGCAGAGGCGTGGTAGGTCTCACCCAGGGCCTGCCTGGCATTCGCCTGCTTCTGCCACAGGCTGG